CTACAATCTGGTGCGTGTACAACTCAACTCAAATCATCGTATTTGCATCAACTCAATTCAACTTAACGCTACGACATCTCGCGTTATATAGCTGGCAATAGTGGTCTCCGACATCACCCTCTCAAACGAACCCGAACAATATTCGCTACAAGGGCCTCAGGATTATTGTCACTTCGACTGTCAATGATCCATGCTTTTGTCGCGAATTTTAATATCGCGAAATCCCAAATAAAATAAATTCCTTATCCAAATTGTAAGTAAATGTTAACAGTAGTGTGAATCATTTAACCAATTTACATCCTTTAAAATTATTTCCCATACGTTTCTTTTATCTTTGTCTAATGGAAATTCACATCTTTAATGACAAAGGATGTCCAATTTACATACTAACCTTCCCATCTGATCTTGTTACAATGCTTATTATGCAATTGGATATTTACAGTTTCCTTTGTATCTAAAAGGACACCCTTTTTTAACGTTTTATGTAAATTACTCCACTCCATTAACACATATATACAACTCTTTGTAAGATAGTAAAAATGCCTTTACTCCTGTATCAACGAGACAGTTATATCCCTTCTTGATTAAACTGCTCTCATATCGATATTCTGTTCCTTCCTGTTGCTTTTTCAATTGGTCTTATTACTTTTATATATATTAATAAAAGTTAATAATCCTTTCTGCTGGATCATTTTCGTGCCATAACTGACGCGCTTACGAACTTCCACCGTAATAAGGTAAGCCTTCGTTAAAATTTCTTGTGTACCTATAACTCACATCGAAATCTTTCAAACCCTTCACTCCGCAACAATATTTGATGGAACTACAACACAATATCACTGAAGCCAAATTTTACTGTAAGCCAACCCATTAAAGTTCCTGCTGACCATTGACTAATCAGAACAAAATCAAATCACGACAGCTTTTGCAATTCCGAATTTTTCACTATAATTTAGATTGTATTTTCAATGTCGAATAAATACCCAAGGATTTCTCAAATTTTTGATACTAACCAGTAAGGGGGTGTCGTGAAATATTAAAGACTGCCAGATAAATTATTTGCCGAGCTCAGTTTGGGTAATCAAATTCCAATCAAATCTATCCAAATGAAGCGCTTAATGCGAAAGCGTTTGTCCGGAGGTCGATTTGTCTTGTGAATACGCAGCAGTAAGGGATATTAACCTTTATCGTGAGAAGAGATTGATAAAAATCCGCCAATGTCCGTAGAAGCGAAGAATAAGCAGAAGAAGAAGCCGATAACCTTCGAAGAGGAGAGCCGCCAAAAGCCCCCCTCCCCCCCCTCCCCCAGGATTTGGGACCGAGATATATATGTTAAGAAATGGGAGTGGTTTACATGAAGAATTCAAGTATTGGAAACCACTGGAGATGGTACAAGCATTATAACAAGATTGAACAGAAAGATTGACATGGGAAATTAAGGGTTTAAACATAAGAATGCAAATTGGTTGGATAAGATAACAACAAAAAAATGTGGGAAACAATTTTAAGGAATGTAGATATGTTAAGAGTGATTCATAGTATCATTAGCATTAATTTACAATATGAATGAATTTATTTGAGTGAATTTATTTGCACGACAGGGAGTACTTCAAGAGCGGTACCTCACTCAATTAATAGCTCAATATTGCACAGTTTTTGAAATTTCCAATCGTGCTATATTGAATTTTGTTTCATTATTAGCGAAAATTTCTTATCAACCCGATTACTTAGGCATATTTATTCAAAAGAATGATTGCTTAAAAACGATTACCACCCTAATAGATTTTGTATTGAAGATACGGAATTTAAGGAAAAGTCAGAATTGTTACTTACTTACATTGTTGTTACTTGCAAAATGGAGTGTAGGAAATTTAGAACAGAAAAAGTTTGTTTGAGTTGACAGGTTTTCCTTACATAATAGCCAAAATAACCTGGCAGTCATCATATTTCTTGATTGAATTCATCGATTCCAAATGCTCTTTCAATTGTTCAACTTATTGCAATTTAATTGTTGTGTGAAGCTCAAGACAGAAAAAATCCCGAAAAAAATGAACTTTTCTTGCTTCCGCATGGATTCCAACAAACTTCTCCAATGGAATGCAGCTTCTACTGCGTTGAATTT